ACCCTAAATTGGCCATGAGGTAGACGTTGACCAGGATGCTGGCAAGGGGAAGCCACGGCACCCGGCATTGACTCTAATCGAAATGCTTGACTCTGTTGACCTGTGAGGCTTGTACTCACCCTAAATTGGCCATGAGGTAGACGTTGACCAGGATACTGGCAAGGGGAAGCCACGGCACCCGGCATTGACTCTAATCGAAATGCTTGACTCTGTTGACCTGTGAGGCTTGTACTCACCCTAAATTGGCCATGAGATAGACGTTGACCAGGATGCTGGCAAGGGGAAGCCACGGCACCCGGCATTGACTCTAATCGAAATGCTTGACTCTGTTGACCTGTGAGGCTTGTACTCACCCTAAATTGGCCATGAGATAGACGTTGACCAGGATGCTGGCAAGGGGAAGCCACGGCACCCGGCATTGACTCTAATCGAAATGCTTGACTCTGTTGACCTGTGAGGCTTGTACTCACCCTAAATTGGCCATGAGATAGACGTTGACCAGGATGCTGGCAAGGGGAAGCCACGGCACCCGGCATTGACTCTAATCGAAATGCTTGACTCTGTTGACCTGTGAGGCTTGTACTCACCCTAAATTGGCCATGAGGTAGACGTTGACCAGGATGCTGGCAAGGGGAAGCCACGGCACCCGGCATTGACTCTAATCGAAATGCTTGACTCTGTTGACCTGTGAGGCTTGTACTCACCCTAAATTGGCCGTGAGGTAGACGTTGACCAGGATGCTGGCAAGGGGAAGCCACGGCACCCGGCATTGACTCTAATCGAAATGCTTGACTCTGTTGACCTGTGAGGCTTGTACTCACCCTAAATTGGCCGTGAGGTAGACGTTGACCAGGATGCTGGCAAGGGGAAGCCACGGCACCCGGCATTGACTCTAATCGAAATGCTTGACTCTGTTGACCTGTGAGGCTTGTACTCACCCTAAATTGGCCATGAGGTAGACGTTGACCAGGATGCTGGCAAGGGGAAGCCACGGCACCCGGCATTGACTCTAATCGAAATGCTTGACTCTGTTGACCTGTGAGGCTTGTACTCACCCTAAATTGGCCATGAGGTAGACGTTGACCAGGATGCTGGCAAGGGGAAGCCACGGCACCCGGCATTGACTCTAATCGAAATGCTTGACTCTGTTGAACTGTGAGGCTTGTACTCACCCTAAATTGGCCATGAGGTAGACGTTGACCAGGATGCTGGCAAGGGGAAGCCACGGCACCCGGCATTGACTCTAATCGAAATGCTTGACTCTGTTGACCTGTGAGGCTTGTACTCACCCTAAATTGGCCATGAGGTAGACGTTGACCAGGATGCTGGCAAGGGGAAGCCACGGCACCCGGCATTGACTCTAATCGAAATGCTTGACTCTGTTGACCTGTGAGGCTTGTACTCACCCTAAATTGGCCATGAGGTAGACGTTGACCAGGATGCTGGCAAGGGGAAGCCACGGCACCCGGCATTGACTCTAATCGAAATGCTTGACTCTGTTGACCTGTGAGGCTTGTACTCACCCTAAATTGGCCATGAGGTAGACGTTGACCAGGATGCTGGCAAGGGGAAGCCACGGCACCCGGCATTGACTCTAATCGAAATGCTTGACTCTGTTGACCTGTGAGGCTTGTACTCACCCTAAATTGGCCATGAGGTAGACGTTGACCAGGATGCTGGCAAGGGGAAGCCACGGCACCCGGCATTGACTCTAATCGAAATGCTTGACTCTGTTGACCTGTGAGGCTTGTACTCACCCTAAATTGGCCATGAGATAGACGTTGACCAGGATGCTGGCAAGGGGAAGCCACGGCACCCGGCATTGACTCTAATCGAAATGCTTGACTCTGTTGACCTGTGAGGCTTGTACTCACCCTAAATTGGCCATGAGGTAGACGTTGACCAGGATGCTGGCAAGGGGAAGCCACGGCACCCGGCATTGACTCTAATCGAAATGCTTGACTCTGTTGACCTGTGAGGCTTGTACTCACCCTAAATTGGCCGTGAGGTAGACGTTGACCAGGATGCTGGCAAGGGGAAGCCACGGCACCCGGCATTGACTCTAATCGAAATGCTTGACTCTGTTGACCTGTGAGGCTTGTACTCACCCTAAATTGGCCGTGAGGTAGACGTTGACCAGGATGCTGGCAAGGGGAAGCCACGGCACCCGGCATTGACTCTAATCGAAATGCTTGACTCTGTTGACCTGTGAGGCTTGTACTCACCCTAAATTGGCCGTGAGGTAGACGTTGACCAGGATGCTGGCAAGGGGAAGCCACGGCACCCGGCATTGACTCTAATCGAAATGCTTGACTCTGTTGACCTGTGAGGCTTGTACTCACCCTAAATTGGCCGTGAGGTAGACGTTGACCAGGATGCTGGCAAGGGGAAGCCACGGCACCCGGCATTGACTCTAATCGAAATGCTTGACTCTGTTGACCTGTGAGGCTTGTACTCACCCTAAATTGGCCATGAGGTAGACGTTGACCAGGATGCTGGCAAGGGGAAGCCACGGCACCCGGCATTGACTCTAATCGAAATGCTTGACTCTGTTGACCTGTGAGGCTTGTACTCACCCTAAATTGGCCATGAGGTAGACGTTGACCAGGATGCTGGCAAGGGGAAGCCACGGCACCCGGCATTGACTCTAATCGAAATGCTTGACTCTGTTGACCTGTGAGGCTTGTACTCACCCTAAATTGGCCATGAGGTAGACGTTGACCAGGATACTGGCAAGGGGAAGCCACGGCACCCGGCATTGACTCTAATCGAAATGCTTGACTCTGTTGACCTGTGAGGCTTGTACTCACCCTAAATTGGCCATGAGATAGACGTTGACCAGGATGCTGGCAAGGGGAAGCCACGGCACCCGGCATTGACTCTAATCGAAATGCTTGACTCTGTTGACCTGTGAGGCTTGTACTCACCCTAAATTGGCCATGAGATAGACGTTGACCAGGATGCTGGCAAGGGGAAGCCACGGCACCCGGCATTGACTCTAATCGAAATGCTTGACTCTGTTGACCTGTGAGGCTTGTACTCACCCTAAATTGGCCGTGAGGTAGACGTTGACCAGGATGCTGGCAAGGGGAAGCCACGGCACCCGGCATTGACTCTAATCGAAATGCTTGACTCTGTTGACCTGTGAGGCTTGTACTCACCCTAAATTGGCCATGAGGTAGACGTTGACCAGGATGCTGGCAAGGGGAAGCCACGGCACCCGGCATTGACTCTAATCGAAATGCTTGACTCTGTTGACCTGTGAGGCTTGTACTCACCCTAAATTGGCCGTGAGGTAGACGTTGACCAGGATGCTGGCAAGGGGAAGCCACGGCACCCGGCATTGACTCTAATCGAAATGCTTGACTCTGTTGACCTGTGAGGCTTGTACTCACCCTAAATTGGCCGTGAGGTAGACGTTGACCAGGATGCTGGCAAGGGGAAGCCACGGCACCCGGCATTGACTCTAATCGAAATGCTTGACTCTGTTGACCTGTGAGGCTTGTACTCACCCTAAATTGGCCATGAGGTAGACGTTGACCAGGATGCTGGCAAGGGGAAGCCACGGCACCCGGCATTGACTCTAATCGAAATGCTTGACTCTGTTGACCTGTGAGGCTTGTACTCACCCTAAATTGGCCATGAGGTAGACGTTGACCAGGATGCTGGCAAGGGGAAGCCACGGCACCCGGCATTGACTCTAATCGAAATGCTTGACTCTGTTGAACTGTGAGGCTTGTACTCACCCTAAATTGGCCATGAGGTAGACGTTGACCAGGATGCTGGCAAGGGGAAGCCACGGCACCCGGCATTGACTCTAATCGAAATGCTTGACTCTGTTGACCTGTGAGGCTTGTACTCACCCTAAATTGGCCATGAGGTAGACGTTGACCAGGATGCTGGCAAGGGGAAGCCACGGCACCCGGCATTGACTCTAATCGAAATGCTTGACTCTGTTGACCTGTGAGGCTTGTACTCACCCTAAATTGGCCATGAGGTAGACGTTGACCAGGATGCTGGCAAGGGGAAGCCACGGCACCCGGCATTGACTCTAATCGAAATGCTTGACTCTGTTGACCTGTGAGGCTTGTACTCACCCTAAATTGGCCATGAGGTAGACGTTGACCAGGATGCTGGCAAGGGGAAGCCACGGCACCCGGCATTGACTCTAATCGAAATGCTTGACTCTGTTGACCTGTGAGGCTTGTACTCACCCTAAATTGGCCATGAGGTAGACGTTGACCAGGATGCTGGCAAGGGGAAGCCACGGCACCCGGCATTGACTCTAATCGAAATGCTTGACTCTGTTGACCTGTGAGGCTTGTACTCACCCTAAATTGGCCATGAGATAGACGTTGACCAGGATGCTGGCAAGGGGAAGCCACGGCACCCGGCATTGACTCTAATCGAAATGCTTGACTCTGTTGACCTGTGAGGCTTGTACTCACCCTAAATTGGCCATGAGGTAGACGTTGACCAGGATGCTGGCAAGGGGAAGCCACGGCACCCGGCATTGACTCTAATCGAAATGCTTGACTCTGTTGACCTGTGAGGCTTGTACTCACCCTAAATTGGCCATGAGATAGACGTTGACCAGGATGCTGGCAAGGGGAAGCCACGGCACCCGGCATTGACTCTAATCGAAATGCTTGACTCTGTTGACCTGTGAGGCTTGTACTCACCCTAAATTGGCCATGAGGTAGACGTTGACCAGGATGCTGGCAAGGGGAAGCCACGGCACCCAGGGACAGGGGAACCCTGGAGAGAGGTTTTTGTTCGAACAGGGAGTCGGGGTGGGAAAAAGGGGGAGGTGGAGGAAGAGTGGGAAAGGTCTATTTAGACGTCTGGGAAAGTAAAGGATACAGGAGAGGGGAAGGCACGGCAACAACGGACACTAGAACCCTGAAGTGACTCATGGAATCTTGGAAAATTAAAATTTGAATTCGAGTGTGTAATCCGCCTCACCTCCTGCTGATCCGAACTGGTGCCTTCCTTCGTCCTCATTGATACATCCAAAAGTTGCTGCCCCCCCGAGGAACAGTGCACCGCCCAGACAGAATAGTAGGAGAGGAAGCCAACTGGTGGGAGGGGGACGGGAGAAGGAACAGAAGAAAGAAGAGAGAGGAGAGGATGGGGGACAGGAGAGAGGGTAGGTGACAGGGAGGAGGGTAGGTGACAGGGAGGAGGGTAGGTGACAGGGAGGAGGGTAGGTGACAGGGAGGAGGGTAGGTGACAGGGAGGAGGGTAGGTGACAGGGAGGAGGGTAGGTGACAGGGAGGAGGGTAGGTGACAGGGAGGAGGGTAGGTGACAGGGAGGAGGGTAGGTGACAGGGAGGAGGGTAGGTGACAGGGAGGAGGGTAGGTGACAGGGAGGAGGGTAGGTGACAGGGAGGAGGGTAGGTGACAGGGAGGAGGGTAGGTGACAGGGAGGAGGGTAGGTGACAGGGAGGAGGGTAGGTGACAGGGAGGAGGGTAGGTGACAGGGAGGAGGGTAGGTGACAGGGAGGAGGGTAGGTGACAGGGAGGAGGGTAGGTGACAGGGAGGAGGGTAGGTGACAGGGAGGAGGGTAGGTGACAGGGAGGAGGGTAGGTGACAGGGAGGAGGGTAGGTGACAGGGAGGAGGGTAGGTGACAGGGAGGAGGGTAGGTGACAGGGAGGAGGGTAGGTGACAGGGAGGAGGGTAGGTGACAGGGAGGAGGGTAGGTGACAGGGAGGAGGGTAGGTGACAGGGAGGAGGGTAGGTGACAGGGAGGAGGGTAGGTGACAGGGAGGAGGGTAGGTGACAGGGAGGAGGGTAGGTGACAGGGAGGAGGGTAGGTGACAGGGAGGAGGGTAGGTGACAGGGAGGAGGGTAGGTGACAGGGAGGAGGGTAGGTGACAGGGAGGAGGGTAGGTGACAGGGAGGAGGGTAGGTGACAGGGAGGAGGGTAGGTGACAGGGAGGAGGGTAGGTGACAGGGAGGAGGGTAGGTGACAGGGAGGAGGGTAGGTGACAGGGAGGAGGGTAGGTGACAGGGAGGAGGGTAGGTGACAGGGAGGAGGGTAGGTGACAGGGAGGAGGGTAGGTGACAGGGAGGAGGGTAGGTGACAGGGAGGAGGGTAGGTGACAGGGAGGAGGGTAGGTGACAGGGAGGAGGGTAGGTGACAGGGAGGAGGGTAGGTGACAGGGAGGAGGGTAGGTGACAGGGAGGAGGGTAGGTGACAGGGAGGAGGGTAGGTGACAGGGAGGAGGGTAGGTGACAGGGAGGAGGGTAGGTGACAGGGAGGAGGGTAGGTGACAGGGAGGAGGGTAGGTGACAGGGAGGAGGGTAGGTGACAGGGAGGAGGGTAGGTGACAGGGAGGAGGGTAGGTGACAGGGAGGAGGGTAGGTGACAGGGAGGAGGGTAGGTGACAGGGAGGAGGGTAGGTGACAGGGAGGAGGGTAGGTGACAGGGAGGAGGGTAGGTGACAGGGAGGAGGGTAGGTGACAGGGAGGAGGGTAGGTGACAGGGAGGAGGGTAGGTGACAGGGAGGAGGGTAGGTGACAGGGAGGAGGGTAGGTGACAGGGAGGAGGGTAGGTGACAGGGAGGAGGGTAGGTGACAGGGAGGAGGGTAGGTGACAGGGAGGAGGGTAGGTGACAGGGAGGAGGGTAGGTGACAGGGAGGAGGGTAGGTGACAGGGAGGAGGGTAGGTGACAGGGAGGAGGGTAGGTGACAGGGAGGAGGGTAGGTGACAGGGAGGAGGGTAGGTGACAGGGAGGAGGGTAGGTGACAGGGAGGAGGGTAGGTGACAGGGAGGAGGGTAGGTGACAGGGAGGAGGGTAGGTGACAGGGAGGAGGGTAGGTGACAGGGAGGAGGGTAGGTGACAGGGAGGAGGGTAGGTGACAGGGAGGAGGGTAGGTGACAGGGAGGAGGGTAGGTGACAGGGAGGAGGGTAGGTGACAGGGAGGAGGGTAGGTGACAGGGAGGAGGGTAGGTGACAGGGAGGAGGGTAGGTGACAGGGAGGAGGGTAGGTGACAGGGAGGAGGGTAGGTGACAGGGAGGAGGGTAGGTGACAGGGAGGAGGGTAGGTGACAGGGAGGAGGGTAGGTGACAGGGAGGAGGGTAGGTGACAGGGAGGAGGGTAGGTGACAGGGAGGAGGGTAGGTGACAGGGAGGAGGGTAGGTGACAGGGAGGAGGGTAGGTGACAGGGAGGAGGGTAGGTGACAGGGAGGAGGGTAGGTGACAGGGAGGAGGGTAGGTGACAGGGAGGAGGGTAGGTGACAGGGAGGAGGGTAGGTGACAGGGAGGAGGGTAGGTGACAGGGAGGAGGGTAGGTGACAGGGAGGAGGGTAGGTGACAGGGAGGAGGGTAGGTGACAGGGAGGAGGGTAGGTGACAGGGAGGAGGGTAGGTGACAGGGAGGAGGGTAGGTGACAGGGAGGAGGGTAGGTGACAGGGAGGAGGGTAGGTGACAGGGAGGAGGGTAGGTGACAGGGAGGAGGGTAGGTGACAGGGAGGAGGGTAGGTGACAGGGAGGAGGGTAGGTGACAGGGAGGAGGGTAGGTGACAGGGAGGAGGGTAGGTGACAGGGAGGAGGGTAGGTGACAGGGAGGAGGGTAGGTGACAGGGAGGAGGGTAGGTGACAGGGAGGAGGGTAGGTGACAGGGAGGAGGGTAGGTGACAGGGAGGAGGGTAGGTGACAGGGAGGAGGGTAGGTGACAGGGAGGAGGGTAGGTGACAGGGAGGAGGGTAGGTGACAGGGAGGAGGGTAGGTGACAGGGAGGAGGGTAGGTGACAGGGAGGAGGGTAGGTGACAGGGAGGAGGGTAGGTGACAGGGAGGAGGGTAGGTGACAGGGAGGAGGGTAGGTGACAGGGAGGAGGGTAGGTGACAGGGAGGAGGGTAGGTGACAGGGAGGAGGGTAGGTGACAGGGAGGAGGGTAGGTGACAGGGAGGAGGGTAGGTGACAGGGAGGAGGGTAGGTGACAGGGAGGAGGGTAGGTGACAGGGAGGAGGGTAGGTGACAGGGAGGAGGGTAGGTGACAGGGAGGAGGGTAGGTGACAGGGAGGAGGGTAGGTGACAGGGAGGAGGGTAGGTGACAGGGAGGAGGGTAGGTGACAGGGAGGAGGGTAGGTGACAGGGAGGAGGGTAGGTGACAGGGAGGAGGGTAGGTGACAGGGAGGAGGGTAGGTGACAGGGAGGAGGGTAGGTGACAGGGAGGAGGGTAGGTGACAGGGAGGAGGGTAGGTGACAGGGAGGAGGGTAGGTGACAGGGAGGAGGGTAGGTGACAGGGAGGAGGGTAGGTGACAGGGAGGAGGGTAGGTGACAGGGAGGAGGGTAGGTGACAGGGAGGAGGGTAGGTGACAGGGAGGAGGGTAGGTGACAGGGAGGAGGGTAGGTGACAGGGAGGAGGGTAGGTGACAGGGAGGAGGGTAGGTGACAGGGAGGAGGGTAGGTGACAGGGAGGAGGGTAGGTGACAGGGAGGAGGGTAGGTGACAGGGAGGAGGGTAGGTGACAGGGAGGAGGGTAGGTGACAGGGAGGAGGGTAGGTGACAGGGAGGAGGGTAGGTGACAGGGAGGAGGGTAGGTGACAGGGAGGAGGGTAGGTGACAGGGAGGAGGGTAGGTGACAGGGAGGAGGGTAGGTGACAGGGAGGAGGGTAGGTGACAGGGAGGAGGGTAGGTGACAGGGAGGAGGGTAGGTGACAGGGAGGAGGGTAGGTGACAGGGAGGAGGGTAGGTGACAGGGAGGAGGGTAGGTGACAGGGAGGAGGGTAGGTGACAGGGAGGAGGGTAGGTGACAGGGAGGAGGGTAGGTGACAGGGAGGAGGGTAGGTGACAGGGAGGAGGGTAGGTGACAGGGAGGAGGGTAGGTGACAGGGAGGAGGGTAGGTGACAGGGAGGAGGGTAGGTGACAGGGAGGAGGGTAGGTGACAGGGAGGAGGGTAGGTGACAGGGAGGAGGGTAGGTGACAGGGAGGAGGGTAGGTGACAGGGAGGAGGGTAGGTGACAGGGAGGAGGGTAGGTGACAGGGAGGAGGGTAGGTGACAGGGAGGAGGGTAGGTGACAGGGAGGAGGGTAGGTGACAGGGAGGAGGGTAGGTGACAGGGAGGAGGGTAGGTGACAGGGAGGAGGGTAGGTGACAGGGAGGAGGGTAGGTGACAGGGAGGAGGGTAGGTGACAGGGAGGAGGGTAGGTGACAGGGAGGAGGGTAGGTGACAGGGAGGAGGGTAGGTGACAGGGAGGAGGGTAGGTGACAGGGAGGAGGGTAGGTGACAGGGAGGAGGGTAGGTGACAGGGAGGAGGGTAGGTGACAGGGAGGAGGGTAGGTGACAGGGAGGAGGGTAGGTGACAGGGAGGAGGGTAGGTGACAGGGAGGAGGGTAGGTGACAGGGAGGAGGGTAGGTGACAGGGAGGAGGGTAGGTGACAGGGAGGAGGGTAGGTGACAGGGAGGAGGGTAGGTGACAGGGAGGAGGGTAGGTGACAGGGAGGAGGGTAGGTGACAGGGAGGAGGGTAGGTGACAGGGAGGAGGGTAGGTGACAGGGAGGAGGGTAGGTGACAGGGAGGAGGGTAGGTGACAGGGAGGAGGGTAGGTGACAGGGAGGAGGGTAGGTGACAGGGAGGAGGGTAGGTGACAGGGAGGAGGGTAGGTGACAGGGAGGAGGGTAGGTGACAGGGAGGAGGGTAGGTGACAGGGAGGAGGGTAGGTGACAGGGAGGAGGGTAGGTGACAGGGAGGAGGGTAGGTGACAGGGAGGAGGGTAGGTGACAGGGAGGAGGGTAGGTGACAGGGAGGAGGGTAGGTGACAGGGAGGAGGGTAGGTGACAGGGAGGAGGGTAGGTGACAGGGAGGAGGGTAGGTGACAGGGAGGAGGGTAGGTGACAGGGAGGAGGGTAGGTGACAGGGAGGAGGGTAGGTGACAGGGAGGAGGGTAGGTGACAGGGAGGAGGGTAGGTGACAGGGAGGAGGGTAGGTGACAGGGAGGAGGGTAGGTGACAGGGAGGAGGGTAGGTGACAGGGAGGAGGGTAGGTGACAGGGAGGAGGGTAGGTGACAGGGAGGAGGGTAGGTGACAGGGAGGAGGGTAGGTGACAGGGAGGAGGGTAGGTGACAGGGAGGAGGGTAGGTGACAGGGAGGAGGGTAGGTGACAGGGAGGAGGGTAGGTGACAGGGAGGAGGGTAGGTGACAGGGAGGAGGGTAGGTGACAGGGAGGAGGGTAGGTGACAGGGAGGAGGGTAGGTGACAGGGAGGAGGGTAGGTGACAGGGAGGAGGGTAGGTGACAGGGAGGAGGGTAGGTGACAGGGAGGAGGGTAGGTGACAGGGAGGAGGGTAGGTGACAGGGAGGAGGGTAGGTGACAGGGAGGAGGGTAGGTGACAGGGAGGAGGGTAGGTGACAGGGAGGAGGGTAGGTGACAGGGAGGAGGGTAGGTGACAGGGAGGAGGGTAGGTGACAGGGAGGAGGGTAGGTGACAGGGAGGAGGGTAGGTGACAGGGAGGAGGGTAGGTGACAGGGAAGGGAGGAGGGTAGGTGACAGGGAGGAGGGTAGGTGACAGGGAGGAGGGTAGGTGACAGGGAGGAGGGTAGGTGACAGGGAGGAGGGTAGGTGACAGGAGGAGGGTAGGTGACAGGGAGGAGGGTAGGTGACAGGGAGGAGGGTAGGTGACAGGGAGGAGGGTAGGTGACAGGGAGGAGGGTAGGTGACAGGGAGGAGGGTAGGTGACAGGGAGGGAGGGTAGGTGACAGGGAGGAGGGTGAGGGTAGGTGACAGGGAGGAGGGTAGGTGACAGGGAGGAGGGTAGGTGACAGGGAGGAGGGTAGGTGACAGGGAGGAGGGTAGGTGACAGGGAGGAGGGTAGGTGACAGGAGGAGGGTAGGTGACAGGGAGGAGGGTAGGTGACAGGGAGGAGGGTAGGTGACAGGGAGGAGGGTAGGTGACAGGGAGGAGGGTAGGTGACAGGGAGGAGGGTAGGTGACAGGGAGGAGGGTAGGTGACAGGGAGGAGGGTAGGTGACAGGGAGGAGGGTAGGTGACAGGGAGGAGGGTAGGTGACAGGGAGGAGGGTAGGTGACAGGGAGGAGGGTAGGTGACAGGGAGGAGGGTAGGTGACAGGGAGGAGGGTAGGTGACAGGGAGGAGGGTAGGTGACAGGGAGGAGGGTAGGTGACAGGGAGGAGGGTAGGTGACAGGGAGGAGGGTAGGTGACAGGGAGGAGGGTAGGTGACAGGGAGGAGGGTAGGTGACAGGGAGGAGGGTAGGTGACAGGGAGGAGGGTAGGTGACAGGGAGGAGGGTAGGTGACAGGGAGGAGGGTAGGTGACAGGGAGGAGGGTAGGTGACAGGGAGGAGGGTAGGTGACAGGGAGGAGGGTAGGTGACAGGGAGGAGGGTAGGTGACAGGGAGGAGGGTAGGTGACAGGGAGGAGGGTAGGTGACAGGGAGGAGGGTAGGTGACAGGGAGGAGGGTAGGTGACAGGGAGGAGGGTAGGTGACAGGGAGGAGGGTAGGTGACAGGGAGGAGGGTAGGTGACAGGGAGGAGGGTAGGTGACAGGGAGGAGGGTAGGTGACAGGGAGGAGGGTAGGTGACAGGGAGGAGGGTAGGTGACAGGGAGGAGGGTAGGTGACAGGGAGGAGGGTAGGTGACAGGGAGGAGGGTAGGTGACAGGGAGGAGGGTAGGTGACAGGAGGAGGGTAGGTGACAGGGAGGAGGGTAGGTGACAGGGAGGAGGGTAGGTGACAGGGAGGAGGGTAGGTGACAGGGAGGAGGGTAGGTGACAGGGAGGAGGGTAGGTGACAGGGAGGAGGGTAGGTGACAGGGAGGAGGGTAGGTGACAGGGAGGAGGGTAGGTGACAGGGAGGAGGGTAGGTGACAGGGAGGAGGGTAGGTGACAGGGAGGAGGGTAGGTGACAGGGAGGAGGGTAGGTGACAGGGAGGAGGGTAGGTGACAGGGAGGAGGGTAGGTGACAGGGAGGAGGGTAGGTGACAGGGAGGAGGGTAGGTGACAGGGAGGAGGGTAGGTGACAGGGAGGAGGGTAGGTGACAGGGAGGAGGGTAGGTGACAGGGAGGAGGGTAGGTGACAGGGAGGAGGGTAGGTGACAGGGAGGAGGGTAGGTGACAGGGAGGAGGGTAGGTGACAGGGAGGAGGGTAGGTGACAGGGAGGAGGGTAGGTGACAGGGAGGAGGGTAGGTGACAGGGAGGAGGGTAGGTGACAGGGAGGAGGGTAGGTGACAGGGAGGAGGGTAGGTGACAGGGAGGAGGGTAGGTGACAGGGAGGAGGGTAGGTGACAGGGAGGAGGGTAGGTGACAGGGAGGAGGGTAGGTGACAGGGAGGAGGGTAGGTGACAGGGAGGAGGGTAGGTGACAGGGAGGAGGGTAGGTGACAGGGAGGAGGGTAGGTGACAGGGAGGAGGGTAGGTGACAGGGAGGAGGGTAGGTGACAGGGAGGAGGGTAGGTGACAGGGAGGAGGGTAGGTGACAGGGAGGAGGGTAGGTGACAGGGAGGAGGGTAGGTGACAGGGAGGAGGGTAGGTGACAGGGAGGAGGGTAGGTGACAGGGAGGAGGGTAGGTGACAGGGAGGAGGGTAGGTGACAGGGAGGAGGGTAGGTGACAGGGAGGAGGGTAGGTGACAGGGAGGAGGGTAGGTGACAGGGAGGAGGGTAGGTGACAGGGAGGAGGGTAGGTGACAGGGAGGAGGGTAGGTGACAGGGAGGAGGGTAGGTGACAGGGAGGAGGGTAGGTGACAGGGAGGAGGGTAGGTGACAGGGAGGAGGGTAGGTGACAGGGAGGAGGGTAGGTGACAGGGAGGAGGGTAGGTGACAGGGAGGAGGGTAGGTGACAGGGAGGAGGGTAGGTGACAGGGAGGAGGGTAGGTGACAGGGAGGAGGGTAGGTGACAGGGAGGAGGGTAGGTGACAGGGAGGAGGGTAGGTGACAGGGAGGAGGGTAGGTGACAGGGAGGAGGGTAGGTGACAGGGAGGAGGGTAGGTGACAGGGAGGAGGGTAGGTGACAGGGAGGAGGGTAGGTGACAGGGAGGAGGGTAGGTGACAGGGAGGAGGGTAGGTGACAGGGAGGAGGGTAGGTGACAGGGAGAGGGGGTGAGGGAGAGGAGACATGGGACAGTTGGCAAGGGAGAGAATTTAGCAGTAGTGGCAGCTGGCCTCTTGCGCTGCTGTGCATAGGCGTTGCTATATTCATTAGAGAGATATGGATGTGTGTCTGCAGCATAACCTGTATTTCTTACCCTGACAAGCTGTGTAAAGAGGGGAAGCGTTACCTCTCACTCTGAACTGGGACTGAACTGGGGAGGTCAGCAGAAGACGAAGCCACAGCAGCAGCACTGGCAGCAGTAGTGGTCGCAGCAGCAGCATTGGCAGCAGAAGTGGCCGCAGCAGCAGGAGACGCTGGAAGGAGGAGAATCATTTACTCACTCTCAGCAGCTGTTTAGAAAAGGGAAGCGTTGCAACTCACTCTGAAAGGTCAGCGGAAGACGAAGCCACAGCAGCAGCAGCGCCAAGCAGAGGGGCACCCAGGGAGACGGCAACGATGGCTCGAGAGGCCAGGCGTCTGTGCTGTGGGATGTGAGGCTGTGGAGAGGGGGGGGTGATTACTCACTTTGCTGTACTGGGGAGGTCAGCAGAATCCGCAGCAGCAGCAGCGGCCGCCCCAAGGAGTGGGGCTCCCAGCGAGACGGCAACAATGGCTCGAGAGGCCAGGCGTCTGTGGGATGTGGGTGCAGCGGCGGCTGTAGCAGCTGTGGCGGCTGTAGCAGCTGTAGCGGCTGTAGCAGCTGTAGCGGCTGTAGCAGCTGTAGCGGCTGTAGCAGCTGTAGCGGCTGTAGCAGCTGTAGCGGCTGTAGCGGCTGTAGCAGGACCTGTCACAGCAGGTGTGGCTGTAGCAGTGATTGTAGCAGGTGTGACAGCAGTGGGGAGAGCAGAATCCTGTTTCCTGGCTCCTGGAGTGTTGCCCCCAGTGGCAATGTCAACGGCAGCTTCATCACCCATTCCCCTCGGTACTGTGGCATTGTATTCGGTGGAAAGGTTTGCTGTTTGGTGCTGCTTCTCCTCTTCTCGCTCTTCCCCTCCCACCTCCTCCCCTTCCTCATCCCCTCCCTCTTCCTCACTCTCCTCCTCCTCCTCCCCTCTTCCGTCCTCCCTCTCCTCCTCATCCCCTCCCTCCTCCCCCTCCCCCTCTTCCGCCCTCTCTTCAAGCAATCGAGCCAGCAGTGGTGCTTGAAACGAGTTGGGCGTGAGGGAAAACACGGACTGCAGCTGGCCGTTGGATCGGATTTCAACGGCCGGAGATGTGCCCAGGCTGTCAGGCAAGCCCATGTGCTTGAACACACTGGATTGGCCGACCGGGAGCGGGGAAGAGACAAAAAAACCCACCCCTGCGGCGGCAGTTGGAAGGGAGGATGTTATATACTGGGGTCGAGTGGGGGGAGAGAAGGTATAGGCTGGTAGGGGGCGGGAGGAGGAGGATGTGGGGTGGTAAAGCTGGTTGTTGGAGGAAGAAGAGGAGGGGAGTGAAGGGGGGTGTGAGGAGGGGAGAGGGGTGGGAGGAGAGGAGGGAGGGGTGTAGCGAAGGATGAGGACTGAGAGGCTGACAGTGGTGAATGCGAGAAGGGTGCCCACACTGACCTGGTGTGGGCATGGGGGAGGCAGACAGGGAGAGAGGAGGAATGGAGGCGAAAGTGAGTGGAGGAGGATGGGAGAAAGAGTTTAGATCAAAGAAGGATGAGGAGTGAGAGGCTGACAGTTGTGAAGGCGAGGAGAGTGCCCACACTGACCTGGTGTGGGCATGGGTGGGGGGGAAAGGGGGATGGACAGGAGACGGTGATAATGAACGAAAGGTATTTGCAGTTGATGGGTATGTGCAGCGAAGGATGCGGACACTGACGGTGGTGAAGGCGAGGAGAGTGCCGACACTGACCTAGTGTTAGCATGGGGGAGGAAGACAGGGAGAGAGGAGTGCGAGAGAAAGGGAGGAGATGGGCAGATTATCAATCACTGAAGGATGAGGGCTGAGAGGCTGACAGTGGTGAATGTGAGGAGGGTTGGTTGGAAGGAAGAAGAGGGTAAGAATAAACAAGATGACTCTGAAAACCATGCCATGATTACGGCCCCCTCCTCACCATGGTCCCACTTAGCCCCCCTCCCGCCCCCTCTCCCACCACCCCCTTCCAACCCACCATGCCTGACAGCTGCCCGATATCAAGCACAAACGCCATGGCGGCGGCCAATAGCCCGGTGACAGCTGTCGCGTTCTGCGGAACGCCCGTGGCCTTGTCGATGCGGCTGAACCAGGCTGGGAGGAGGCCGTCGCGAGCCATGACCATGAGTATGCGCGGCTGTGGGGGAGGGGGGAGAAGGGGGAAGGGGTGTGAGGAGAGTGAGGCGCATCACAAATGGAACCAGGCAGGGAGGAGGCCGTCCCGCGCCATCACCATGAGGATGCGCGGCTGGGGGGGGGGGGAGGGAGGGGAGTGTGTGGGTCATGTGTGGGGAGTGTATATGGCGTGTGATGGAACCAGCAGGTGGAGATGCGACCAGCACCCGAAGCAGCAGGGACTCGAGCAATTATCCATACCAGACAAATGGGAAAAGTGCTTAAATCTATCAGATGCAAATAGGGGCAGCAGGTGAGATGCGCATGCATGGCACCTACCACCTGTCGTGAGATGCGCATGCATGGCACCTACCTGGGGCAGCAGGGATCCGAGGAGAGTGGTGGAGAGAGCTGCGAGCGCACCCCCTGTCACAAGGTACCTGCAATACAAGCACATGTGCGGTACAGGCACATTTAAGCTACGAGAACATGTGAGGCGTCTCAAAGTTGGAGAGAGCTGCAAGCGCACCCCCTGTTACAAGGTACCTGTGATACAAGCACAAGTAACATACGAACACGTGTGCTGCAGTACATGCAGATATGTGATATGCTATACAATCACGTATCTCGCGATTTGCACAGTTTCATCTCACACATATGAGGTGCATCCACTCGATGACTCTCTCACTCTCTTACACATATGCACACTCTCTCACTCTCTTACACATATGCACACTCTCTCACTCACTCGCTTGACCCACACTAGGTGGTACGTCTGGAACGCCTGAGATTTGAGGCAACACACTCTCTCACTCACTCCCTCACTCACACTGTCAATTACTCTCTCACGTCACTCCCTCACTCACTCTGTCCATCACCCTCTCACGTCACACTTTGCCCAGTCATGAAGTGGTACCTCTCCATGGTGTCCAGGGCAAAGTGCCCAGTCCAGGTGGTACGTCTCGAAGGCCTGAGCCATGGGCGTGTCAGGGTCAATGCGGTCAAACGGAGTCAACCCCACCAGCATCACCACTCCCTCACACCCTCCCTCTCCCACTTACTTGGCCCAATCCAAATGGTAGGTATCAAACGCCTGAGCCATGGGTGTGTCCGGGTCAATGCGGTCAAACGGAGTCAACCCCACCAGCACCGCTGCTATCACCATGTAGAGAGCGCCACAGCAGGTAAGGGACAGGCCTATCCCCAAAGGCAGGTCGCGCTGAGGGTGCTTCACCTGTTTATAGAGACGGGGGGAAGGGGAGGGAGAGAATATGGGGAATTGAGATGGAGAGTAGGTGCGAGCTTGTAGAGTGCCGCTATCACCATGTAGAGAGCGCCACTGCAGGTAGCGGACAGGCCTATTCCCAGAGGCAGGTCCCTCTCAGGGCGCTTCACCTGTGTTTAGAGAAAGGGGATAGGAGAAGGGTAAGTGTGAGCAGGTACTTTGGCACTATCACCATGTAGAGAGCGCCACTGCAGGTAGCGGACAGGCCTATGTCCAGAGGCAGGTCACGTTGAGGGTGCTTCACCTGTATCACACAAGAGGTATTCTAAGACGACGGTGCTTCACCTGTATCAAGCACGGGAATAGATCAAACCGAAGACGCTGTGAGGTTGATCGATGTCAAGTTTTGAGGCGCCGCAAAACTAGGTCAGTGCGTGCAGGTTGAGACCGATCAACCTCACAGCGTTTGACACGCAAACGAATACGCGAAATGGTAACAGCGGCACAGTCAATTGACATCTTTTGAGGCGCCTCAAAAGAGGCTCAGTCAGTTGACGTCCTACATTCATCTGGTTCACTGTCACGAATGCCGGATGATCCAGTGCAAGAAAGAAAACTAGTCATGTGAGAGGTGGCAGTGGTCTCGGTTTTACACTTAAGAGGACGCTAATGCCCTCACGTTAACTCAGCATACCTCTTCTGCTGTGCTTGCAACCGTATCGAATCCAATGTACGAGAAAAAGGCCATCGCTGCTCCTCCCAGCAATCCAGACACACCGAATGGTAGATAGCTGGAAGAGACAGGGCGATAATGGGGAGAAACGGGTGAAGGGGGGCGAATCAAATCAAAGAAGGCCATCCCATCCCAGCTGCTCTCAGTATTCCAGACACAAACGGAACACATAGTTCGGGGTGAGAGAAAACAAGGAAGCGTAAGTATGTGACTGACTGGGCCAACAAAGAAAAGTATGGATTCTGTCCCCCATGGGCTTGGAGGCACGGAACGACTTTTGAGTCGACTCAAAAATCGCCTCATCACTGGGGCAACAAAGAAAAGTATGGATTCTGTCCCCCATGGGCTTGGAGGCACAGAAGGAAATGGAACGGGTCTGAGTTTGCATGGAGACACACGGAAGCGAGGTGAAGTGCACTTAAGGTATGGGTCCGAATGAAAGGAATTATGAAGGGGTTTGGGACGACTCAAAACATGGAGAGACATGGAGGGGAGGTGAGAAGGGCACATAGGGTATGGATTCGAGTCAAAGGAAGAATAGCAGCTAACCACCAACACAAAAACCCACGGCACAAGCACCCATACCACAAGCACCCACACCACAAGCACCCACACCACAAGCACCCACACCACAAGCACCCACACCACAAGCACCCATACCCCCCCAAGATTACTGCATCGTAATCACCCACCTTGGAGACTCCTTGTACCCCGGCCATCCATGGGTAAACCCTATCCATGCCCCCGCCACCGCGACAAACAGCAGTATTATCGCATTCGCTACTGTCATCCCCATCTGGAAATTGGCGCTCTGCAAGGGCAAGTGCGGAAACAGACGAGAGGGATAGTGAACAGCAGCAGAATAGAGGGACACTTAAGTGAAGCAGTTCAATCACATGGTTAGGTATCCAACAAACAAAGAACCCACTGTCCTGAGAATCGGAACTTGTCTCTTGTGCTGTCAAGCGAGGTTCAGGAAGGTGCTGAGCTGGCAGCAGGGACGGCCGCCATGTCAGCAACGCTGGATGGTGATGTCAGCAACACCATCCAGCGTTGCTGACATGCCGGCTGTCCCTGATGCCAGGCTGCCAGCTCAGCACCTTTTTGAACCTCGCTTGACGGCACAAGAGACAAGTTCCGATTCTCAGGGTTGATTCCCCTGCCACCTCATCCTCATCTGGATATTGGCACTCTGCAAGGCAAGAGCAGAAAGAGAGCGGAGGGCTGTTGCAACGTAAGGTAGAAAAGGAAAGTGAAGAAAACAGACAGACACACGAACAGCACAATTACAATCGCTACTGTCTTCCCCAACTGAAAATTGGTGCTCTGTTAGGAGGAGAAACAAAAGAGTGGGAAGTTGAGCAGAAAAGAGGGATATTGAACAGAAGCGAGGGATACGGAACGGAAGCAACCCAGAGGGACACTGAAGCTAACGAGGGTAGATGGGTAGAGTGAGGAGATGGGTAGAGCCCACGTGAGACACACCCACGTGCCACACACCCACGTGACACACACCCACGTGCTGCTGTACCCATACATACCTTTTCTTCAGACCCAGGGCAAACTCATACCTGCATACCCTTCACCTCCCTGCGCAGTGACGAGAGCCACCATGAGTGCAGCGCAGCACGCGGATGGATGGATGCAGCACTAGAGTGGAAAAGCAGGCAGGACACTCTAGTGCTTTTCTCTGGGCCTCTAGCACTAGAGGCCATGTTCCTATGCTGCCTCTCTGGGACAAGTTCCCTCTCTTCTGCTCAATTTTCCTCTCTTTCTGGGACATTCTTCCTCCTCCGTATAAAGGCCCTCTAACCAGACAGTATACGCACCTCCTTGATGCCGGCACACAGCAGTACTGTCACTGCAGCCATCATGATGGCAGCGCACGGATCCAACACCACACTTGTGCCCCTCTAGAGTGTGGGTTAGTCAAAGCACCTCCTTGATGCCAGCAGACAGCAGTGCTGTCACCGCAGCCACCATGATGCAGCACACGGATCCAACACTACAGTGGTGCCTGGGACTGGTCAGTCAACCCACCTCTTTAATGCCAGCAGACAGCAGTGCTGTCACCGCAGCCACCATGAGGGCAGCACACGGATCCAGGACCACACTTGTGCCTGGGACGGGCAGACGAGCCAGGATGAACGGTAGGCTGTCTGGCCCTCCGAACGCCGTTGCCTGAACATGTGGTGGGAGGTAGGGCGGAGTGAGAGACGAGAGAATGAAGTTGGGAGATCGTATAGGGATTTACAGAGAACAAGACAGGCAGGCGAGCCAGGATGAACGGTAGGCTGTCCGGCCCTCCGAATGCCGTTGCCTAAACTCATCATGTGGGATGGGTTGGGCGGGGGGGAAATGAGAGTACAAATTTGAGACGTCTCAGAAGTTAGGTTGGGCGGGGGGGAAATGAGAGTACAAATTTGTATCGAAATGGGGCATGCAGGCGGGCCAGGGCAGGCTGTCTTTTGAGTCGACTCAAAAGTCACCTCAGTACAGATTTGTATCAGAATGGGACATGCAGGCGAGCCAAGGCAGGCTGTCTTTTGAGTCGACTCAAAAGTCACCTCAGTACAGATTTGTATCAGAATGGGACATGCAGGCGGGCCAGGGCAGGTCGGCTGCCCTGCCGAACGCCGTTGCCTGAACACATGGTGAGGGCAGTGTGAGAACTGAGTGCGAAGCTGGGAGCGTACAGGTATCTGCAAAGAACGGGAGTGGCAGGTGGGGCGGGATGAATCATAAAAGGCATGACATGTGCCCCTCCAAATGCCATAGCCTGAACAGTGAGCACGTGGTCGGGGGAGTGAGATAAGAGGACAGAGATGAGAGAAGGCGTGCTGTCACTGTCAGTCTGTCCCTTTGTAGAGGGGCTATGAAAAGGGGTATTAGAGCATGCCTAAGAATGTGTGCACGCCTGAATTTTGAGTCGACTCAAAAGTCAAAGGGGTATCAGAGCATGCCTAAGAATGTGTGCACGCCTGAATGCACAAAATCGCCCCTTAGTGTCCATCATTGCACCTGAGTGAGCAAAATTACCAGATTTGGTGAAATGCCTCGAGCCACTGCTGCCCCACCCACGGTATACTCTAGAATGAGCGCCCAGCCGATGAGCCATGCCACCCTGGTGACAGCGGCGAGGGGGGATAACAGAGAGACGCATTGAGAATTGCACAGATCGTGTGAATGAAGAATGCCTCGAGCCACTGATACTGCTGCCCCACCCACGGAATACTTGAGAATGAGCGCCCAGCCGATGAGCCACGCCACCCTGGTGACGCAAGGCAGCAAGAGAGGGGATAACAGAAAGACACATCAAGACAGTGGTGATGGTGTGTGCGGCATGCCTCGAATCAAGCCACAGCCGCCCCACCCACGGTATACTCGAGAATGAGAGTCCAGCCGATGAGCCACGCTACCCTGGCGGAGTCAGTGTGAGAGGACAACAGAGAGACGGTCTTGAGTTGACTCACAAGTCAACAACGCATTGACTGAGCAGCGTGTCTGAACTGGAGGCACTGCCACTCCACCCACGATCATCAGAGCCCAGATGATCAACCAGCCAGCCACGACATGGCACCCTGGTGGCCGCAGCGAAGGAGGATAACAAAGGGACGGTTTTGAGTTGATTCACAATTCAACAATGCATTGACTGAACAACACTCCTCGACGCACTGCCACCCTACCCATGGAATACTTAATCGCACTCACACTTCCCGACACAGTCGTATGTGTGTAGTGGTAGGCACTCCCAGCGGACGGGCAGCGACTGACAAGCTCAGCGTAGCAGAGAGCAGCCAAGCCCGCCGCCACGCCTGCTATGAGGAACTATCCATATTCCCATCTGTCCCAAGCACACTCACACTTCTCCAACTGTCGTGTAAGCGTAGTGGTAAGCACTGCCAGCAGAAGGGCAATGACTGGCGAGCTCAGCATAGCAGAGAGCAGCCAAGCCCGCAGCCACTCTTGCTAAGATACTGAACCAGAGCGTGTTCTTTGAGAATTCTCAAAAAACACGATCTTGCTATGATACTGAACCATCTCCCACCTCCACACTGTGTGTGTTTTGAGTCGACTCAAAACACACCTCCACACCCCCCAAAGCACACTCACACTTCCCTCACGGTGGTGTATGCATAGTGGTAAGCACTGCCAGCAGAAGGGCAACGACTGGCGAGCTCAGCATAGCAGAGAGCAGCCAAGCCCGCCGCCACAGTGATTCTACAGCTCTAACACACCCCCCAAGCACACTCACACTTCTCCGACTGTCGTGTAAGCGTAGTGATAAGCACTCCCAGCAGAGGGACACCGACTGGCGAGCTCAGCGTAGCAGAGAGCAGCCAAGCCCGCCTCCACGCCTGCTATGAGGAGGAAGGTGAATCGCCTGCATAACGGCCTGCACTACACCTTACGCATTCCCCCATACCACTCACACACACTCACACTTCCCCAACAGTCGTGTACGCATAGTGATAGGCACTCCCAGCGGACGGGCAGCGACTGGCGAGCTCAGCGTAGCAGAGAGCAGCCAAGCCCGCCGCCACGCCTGCTATGAGGAAGGAGAGGGGCAGCGCCGGTCCGGCCTTCTCCCGCGCCACTGTGCCAATGAGAACGTACACTCCCGCGCCTATGGTCGACCCCACTCCTGTTGTAGGTGCGGGAGAGAGGTGCAAGGGAGTGGTAAGTGTTGTAGGGGTAGAATCTGGAGCTGCCTGCTATGGGGAAGGAGAGGGGCAGCGCACCCCGGCCCTTCTCCCGTGCCACGGTGCGTTATGGTTGACCTCACCCCTGTGGTGGGTGGGTGGGTGGGATGGGATGGGATGGGATGGGATGGGATGGGATGGGATGGGATGGGATGGGATGGGATGGGATGGGATGGGATGGGATGGGATGGGATGGGACGGCATGGGGTGGGACGGGACGGGGCGGGACGGGATGGGATGGGATGGGGTGGGATGGGATGGGATGGGATGGGATTGGATTAGACCAGATAGGATATGATTGGATGGGATAAAATAGGATAGGAAATGGGATCGGATCCGATGGTGTAGGATGGGATGTGGTGTGATCAGGGTGTGACCCCGCCAGGCCGTTAGGCACGCGAGCACTCGTCTTAGAAAACGCCCGGATATCGGATCAGATCAAGCTCAGATCGTACCGAGTAGGGGAGTGGTTTGGAAGCGGAGACTTGCTCCTAGAATGGTTCAGACGGGATGGCTTGGGTCGGACGCGACGTAGTGGAAAGTAGCGCAAGCATGCTCGTTGTCTCAGCAGATCTCCGTTTGGAAATCCGGACCGTGACGGCCTGAAGCGCACCTAGTGGGATGGAGTCAAGCGTAATTACCGGGATGGGATAAGGCGTACCTAGCGGGATGAGCTGCCAGAACGTGAGGCACTTCGGAAGCGGCGCCGCCATGAGGTTCGTATGCGACTGAGAGTGCTTCAATCGGAACATCCCTCCCCACGAATTATGCCGGGTAAACCCCCCTCGCCTTGTAGTACCCGATCCTCCGCCATTCCCCGCTCCTCCGCGTTCCCCGCCGGATTCCTGAATCCTACGGTAGCCGGAATCGTGGATCTGCGGTTGAGATCCCCATTGGGGGGATGGATGGTGCGGATACGCGCCACCAGCGCCAGTTCGATCTGACGGTTGAGAACTCCCGAGGGGAGTCCCACCGTGATGATCTAGAAAACCTCCACGGCGATCCATGCTGACCGATGCCTGTCCGCAAAAAAGTATCGGAGCGTACTCGTTACAAGAATTAACCTCCTATCGGTGCATGGACTAAGCCCATAGGAGTTACTTTACCACCATGATGCGCACAATCTGAAACAGCTTTGAATGCGGCGCGATTTCTATCAATCTAGTTGTGCGGCTGGCGGCGCGTGAAGCTACACGTCGATCAGAACAGCTTATAATTGAAAACTCCCATTCTACGGCTGTCTCGCGACTCGTTCAAACGCGGCTATCTCCTGCCAGCGGATGGGTGTGGTAAAGTAACCGACACAGTAAAGCGTGCCAATATGCTAACTGCTTTTAGAAGAAGAGGTAGGTGCCAGCGCTAGCGGTTTCGGTTACACCAAGCAGGAGCTCCCTGCTGCTAAAGAAGCAGTGGCTTGTTCCACCGTTCAAAACGTCTCATTTCTCTGGTCTAGTTTCCATCGAGCTTGTCAGGAGAAGGATTTTGTCGCGCGATTGACGGGGAAACTGAAGTCGTTGTCGGAAATTTGAACAGAAAAGGTTGGAGCTTGTATGTGGCACGGGAAATCATATTGAGTCAGCACGCTGGGAGCTTCCTTGCTGGACAACTGGAGAAGCATGTATTTTCGAGGGTTTCTGATTGGTGGTTATGCCACATCAGCGTCGAGACACAATGCCGTGCCACCCAAGTCTGCGTCAACGACACGAATGCATGACTCGACGCGTTCCTGGGCCACCACACCCGATTAGACGCGATTCGTTTCAACTGCGGCTGATTGGTGGTACAAGGAACATATATTCATGGCATTCAAGTACGATATACAGATAATATTTCATTCTTGGTGTACGTGTACGCAATCAGGGGGGATATCTAAATATGTACAGAAATACATCTGACAGTGATAAAGATTCTCTTTTGGCCTCCGTACATTCCCAATCCTGACTGCAGCTCCAACTTGTGAAGAGTTGCTGGTGGAATAGAATCTCAGGAGATCATAACAAGCAAGAAACAAGGGTGAGAAAGTAGGGTTAGCAAATCCTGAAACTGTTTCGGAAGGTTACTGATGACTGGAAACATGAAAGCCAGAGCCAGAATCAGTCTCCCTGCCTGCACACATGTCAGCACCCAAGGGTAAGACTGGCTAGTGCAAGCTTTCCATGTTTTGAGATGTGTCGATTTCCTAAAGCTGCAAATGTGAGGGCTTGACAAAGCCTGTAAAATGTGGGTCCCACAGTCTCCCAGCCTGTGCATGACTGAGCACAGCACAGGACAGGAAACGGCAGGAAACCGGCTTGACAGTCTCCCAGCCTGTGCATGACTGAGCACAGGAGAGCGCCTTTGGTACAGCAGGACCCAATTCCCATCCCTGCCACTGCCGCCCATTGCTCCTCTCGCTCGTGCATGCCGTGTGGCACACAGAGAGAACGAGAGCACAAGTGATGGCCGTGACTGAGAGGGGTGCTGCTGATATGGGAGAGGTTGCGAGCGTGGAGCATGGGAAGCTTCCGAACATGCCACTGGGGCCCTCTCCGAAGGGATAGATGGGCAAACAGAGGGATGGACAGACGGATGGGCGGTCAGAGAGGGGAGTGGACGGACGGACAGCGGACGGTCAGCGGACAGACAGTGGGGCGGACAAGGAGGGAACCATGGAGTAGCAGAGTAGAACTAAAGTACGCACACATGGGTGTTTCATCTAGAATTATACGCACTCAAATACACTTCTACTCGTTCGACAATCAAGCTTCATTCAACAATTCAACAGGAGGGGTAAGAAACCTGCGGGAGAGGATCAATCAGATCAGCCAGCTGTGCTTTTGAGTCGACTCAAATCTCGACTCAAAATTAAACAATTGAGCAGGAGGGGTCAGACACTCCGGCCGGAGAGGACCAATCAGATCAGCCAGCTGAGTCTGTGGCCAGCAACCAATCAGAGCAGAGGCAGAGACAGAGAGAGTCAAGAGAGGAGGAAGGGGATTGAGAATGAGAGAGATTGAACGAGAAAAATACTTCCCGTTCCCTCCCATGCCCCCTGTCTTCCTACCCTGAAACCTGCTGTCTGTTGCTCCTGTCTGCTTGGACACATGGCTGCAAACACGGCCGGTGATGGTCAGAATAAGTAGCTTTCATCATTCCCCTCTGCCATTCAGTAATCGATTCATTGATTCAGGTATTTATAATAATTCATAAAAGATCGCATATACGCTTTAGAGGCGCACTTACAGAAGCGCGAAGGGAAAGGGTTGCAATAAGGAGGACATCGAGTAAGAGGATAAACAATGAGGGCATGCATACCACAGAGACAACTAAAAGTCACAGCAGGAAAGTGGGCGAATGCAAAGGGGGCCAAAAGAACAAGCTCCTGCATTGACTCACTCAATAGACATCATGAAATTCGATGCTTGTGCATGTTCAGAGAGCAAACGGAGCGAAGTCAACAGGTGAACTTCAGAGACGACTCGTATGTCATGGCAGGCGGGTGGGCGAAAAACAAGGGGGCAAAAAAAGAGGTGCCGAAGGGCCGAGTTCAATAGGTGAACTCGCTAATAAACCAATCATATGAGCTCAGAAACATGTGTATGTTTTAAAAGCGCCCTTATTATAAGGGCTAGAGGGATCAGGGACGGTTGATTTTTGGTAGCCAATCACAGCACGCATCGGCTCGCCACCACCAGCCAATCAGAGCAGAGGCAGAGACAGCGAGACTCAAGAAGCAAAGGAGCGCCTGGGAGAGTGATCAAACAAGGAAAGTCTTCCTGTTCTCTTCCCCCTGTGCTCCTCTCCACTCCCTTGAACCTCTCTGCCTGCTGCGTGCTGCTGAATGAACAGGAGGCAGCGATGAGCGGCCAATACATGACTCAGATGGGGTCGATTTCCATCATTTCCCTCTGAAGCTCAATTCTGAAGCTCAATTCTGAAGCTCAATTCTCGAGCTAGCTTGTGCAGCAACATGCGACTGCTTTGGCGTGCTGCTGAATGAACAGGAGGCAGCGAGGGCGGCCAATACATGACTCAGATGGGGTCGATTTCCATCATTTCCCTCTGAAGTTCAGCTCTCCAGTTAGCTTGTGCGGCAACATGCCACTGCTTTGACTGATTGGTATTAGGAAGTGAAAGCAAAAGAGCGGAACGAGAGCATGAAAGAGCGGAACGAGAGCATGAAAGAGCGGAACGAGAGCATGAAAGAGCGGAACGAGAGCATGAAAGAGCGGAACGAGAGCATGAAAGAGCGGAACGAGAGCATGAAAAGAGTTTGAACGAAAAACTCCTTCCACTTTGCTCTCCCGCCTCTTCCCTGAGGATGGGCGAAATTACAGGGAGAATAGAGACCAAGTTCAACAGGTGAACTCCCTGATCTGATAAACCATTGATATAAGGGCAGGAGCATGTGATTATCTTAAGCGCGCCCTTAAGATTATGGGCTAGAGGGATCAGGTTGTGTGTGGATGGAACGATAGCCAATCACAGCGCGCATGGGCTTCCATTCACCACCACCAGCCAATCAGAGCAGAGGCAGAGACAGCGAGACTCAAGAGAAGAGGAAGGAGCGCCTGGGAGAGTGATCAAACAAGGAAATTCTTCCCGTTCTCTTCCCCCTGCACTCCTCCCCCGTCCCTGAACCCCTCTGCCTGCTGCGTGCTGCTAAATGAACAGAAGGCAGCGGGGAAGGACCGTGCATTACTCATATCGACAGGTGCGATCTCCATCATTTCCCTCTAAAGCTGATTTTTCCAGCTAGCCTGTGCGGCAACATGCGACCGCTTTGACTGTTTGGTGAAAGAACTGTAAAAGAAGGAAAAGCGGCTGCAGACACAGTCAGTAGTGGTGAATTCATGTCAACATGTGAATTCATAGGAGGGCAACGAATCAAATTCATGAGATGAAAAAAAAAAAGAAAAAAAAAGAGAAACAAAAAGAAGGAAAGAAAAAACACCATGACATCAGAGCAACAACGCGTCTTTCTTTTAACGAGCCTTGAGATTATGGGCTGGAGGGATCAGGAAAGAGTAAACAAGAGGAGCTTCAAGGCTGTTCCTTTGATGTATTTTCCAGCGAATGTGATGAGAGTGTGGGCAAGAAGCCTAAGAATTGCAGGGAAGAGGAGAGGGGGCAGTGGGGGTGGCAGTCGTGCAATTGCAGGAGAAGGCAGAGCAGAAAAGAAGCGCAAATTACGAGGCAGGCGTGTTCTCCAAATTCCCAAAGTATCCATACATATAGAGTTCAGCGTTCATATAATTTTATACGCATTTGACTACACTAGACGCATTCACCAATTGAGCAAGAGTGGTCAGAAACCTGCAGGTGAGGATCAATCAGATCAGCCAGCTGTGCTTTTGAGTCGACTCACATCTTGACTTAAATCTCGACTCAAAATTAAACAGCTGAGAGCAGGAGGGGTCAGAACTCCGGCCGGAGAGGACCAATCAGATCAGCCAGCTGAGTCTGTGGCCAGCAACCAATCAGAGCAGAGGCAGAGACAGAGAGAGTCAAGAGAGGAGGAAAGGGAGTGAGTATGAGAGAGATTGAACGAGAAAAATACTTCCCGTTCCCTCCCATGCCCCCTTTCTCCCTCACCTGAAGCCCACTGCCTGCTGCTCCTGTCTGCTTGGAGACGTGGCTGCAAACACGGCCAGTGATGGTCAGAATAAGTAGCTTTCATCATTCCCCTCTGCCATTGAATAATACATTCATCTAACTGGCTATTCATTCTCAC